GAAAAATTGTGTGTTTGATTGGTCCAGACGCTACAAAAGCTATCAAAAATTAAATATAAAAATGTATAAATATATTTTGTATTTTAATATATAAACATAACATTACATAATTAAAATGAAGAAAAAAAACATTAAATATAAAACTTCTAAATAATTCCAAATGTAAACCTCAAGTACAAACAGAAAAAGCTTTATTTATACAAATCTAAACCTAATATAAATTTAATAAATCTGTTGTGACTGCTTAGTTTTACTCGCCTTAAGTTTAGGTCTTTTGTACTGGTCGAGCTCAGCCTCTAATATCTCTTCTGTCATTTGGGACTTGGTTTTGAAACGCTGGGACTGGTTCTGGTTTTGAGCATTTGTGAAATTCGATCTGATGTCTGCAGGGGCCGAACGGGGTTTCCTCTCTCGCCCGAAGACCACAATGTCCCAGAGTTTCAGCCACTTCAGCAGACAACGATTAGTAAACTACAGAGACAAATGTAAATAATTACAAGGAAAATTCATGCCAATATCCTTTATCTTCAATTACAAAGGTTAGTTTTAAAATGAACATTGTGTCTATGACTCACATTATCACTGAGTAGATCAGTGTAGTGCTGTGGCGAGAACTGATCCACCCACAGCCGCGAGGACGAGCCTTCATCTTCCCCACTATCACCATTCACACCAGAGTCTGTCTTCTCTTCTGCAAGAAGCTCTGCATCTATACCACTAAAACGCCATTAAGAGTAAAAGGAATAGCTCAGCCAAATATGAAGATTTGCTGAAAATGTACTCACCGTCAGGCCATCCAAGATGTTGATGAGTCTTTTTATTGGACCAGATTTGGAGAAATGGCCTGAGGCTGAGTGACTGATACAATACAAACAAAAATGTCACCTATTCATGAGCTCTGTCAATCTTTGGGACTCCTCCACCACTTGCCGATGGCGCTGAAAAAACAAAACCAATTCAGACAGATTTCCTCCAAATCATTAATTTCGTTTTTTTTTTTTTGCATGTGCACACATATTCTTACTCTCTCTGCAAT